AGTATATCGCTGTCTTTACGTGGTGTACATATATTCGTACATATATTCGTATATTCAGACCTGAAATATGAATATTAATACTAGTTTTTTGGAGGGAAATATATGAGAATTTTAGAGTTAAGACTAGGTGAATCTGTAACGACACCAGTTATCTGTAGATATCTCAGCAAACACACACACACACACTTGTTCGGTTTTCTGTTTCTGTTTTCAAAACTACAACATACATTAAAATGATACAGGTAAAATAAGCTTTGCTATGCGTATTATCTGAGTATACATCGATTTATTTGCTTAATTTATTTTGCTTAATCTATTTAATTAATTATTAAATATTAAATTATTATTTAAAAGAATCAAAGATTATTCGATGGTTCTTGATACAAAATTGGAGAAAAAATTCAAAACGTGTTTTATGCAATACTGTCACGAATTTATGACGTCATTACAACTACTATATATGCAAGTGCGTGTGTATTTGTTTCTAAATGGGCCATATTGTTTAAATAGCCTTAGTTGAGGTTACATTATGGTACATTCGAGGTGGTACAGTTCAGTGGTCAGAGTATTTTGGAAAATGTGTGGATAGCATTTATTATTAAACTTGTATTTCTGTTTTACTTAGTTGTGGAAGAACCCCGCATTGCTAGAAATGACCAATGAAAATGTTCCAATGAAGAGGTAAGCCAATGTAAATGAAATTATAATGGGTTACAGATTCCATCGACCCCGATCATTTTGTATAATCTACATATAGATGCAATGGTGTCACAAAAGCATGTTTTTGTTTATTCTATACAGAATTGGAAAGCCGTCTGAGTGTGCCGGGGCCGTTTCTTTTCTATGTTCTGATGACGCTTCTTTCATTACCGGAGAAACTATAATTATGAGTGGTGGGATTGCACCTAGACTTTGAGGTCGATAGCAGACATTCCATCTATTAAATACGGAGCGGAAAATTTATCACAACTTTTTGTTTGACAATTGTTACATAATTATTTATTTGGACACAAGTTATCAACATTTTTTGCCTCCATCTTATGACTTCGCATGATTTGTTCCTGTATGTAACCAGGCGTATAATTTGATCTGTATTTTACATTTTAATGAATGTTTGACCAGTTTTATAAGAAAACAAGCGTTTTGTGACAAACGGCATAAAATAAAATAAAGGACATTTGATGATGTCAACTACCTTTAAATTATTGTATGATTGCATGGTGCGTCTGATTCAATGTATCAACGTTAAAGATAATATGGATTCTCACATTTTTTCAGTCACGAATGGTGTGCGCATGCTTTTGATTGGCCAATTTATAAATGCAAGAAACGTAGGATAACAAATGTGCGATAGAATAAAATCAAATGTTGATTATGATCACCGAGGAGATTTTAAAACTATTTAACAATTCAACTCCTGGTATCTTCTTGGTATAACTATTTAACAATTCAACTCCTGGTATCTTCTTGGTATAACTATTTTGCTCAATGTTTTGACTCAGAATTCCTTGAGGAAGTTGACGACTTTGCACATTAGGACAGGGTAGGGCGTATTTTAGTAGTCATTATGAAATATACATGCAAATACCAGCCTAAATATGTACCATATTTAGTATTAATTGCGTAAACCACCAGAATTTGTATAAACATGCATCACTTAAATGTATTAGTATTCCACACCATTTCTTACGTCAGCTGGAATGGATCACTTTTTTTTTTAAAAGTAATGGGGAAAATGTATACTTCTAATATAGTTTTTTTTTTAAATAACAGTACAAAAAAACGAAAATGTAAAAATATTCTGCGCATTTATTAATTTCAAAGATAGGATGCAAAAATATGTTATTTTATAAATCGTATTACATTCGATTTTATAGGATATTCTTTTCTAAGTTAATTACAATGTCACTACTGTTATTTCACTTCATCGTGAGTACCCACATTCACACCTAGAATCAATTTAGACGAACCACATTATGCGGTTAACTTAGGTTCGATTATCATATAAGATAAGACAAACAAAAGAATTTTAGGTCTTTTCATTTACAGATTTTCGTATTCGTTAAATCTGTTTTAAATGTATCTCCTTAAGTGTTTCAAAGTATTCATAATTATACTCCGTAATTAACAATCTTCCACCTGGTACACGGGGTATAGTAGTGTTCAACAATTAAGTTTGATTTCAAAATACCCGAGACTTTGAACAGTTCAAAACAAAATGATACTCGCCCACAATTACATCCAAACGGGCATACTCATTCGTTTCGTGAGATAGCATTCACTCTACCCTTTTTAATCATGAACTGATAGGCAGAGAGTCCCAGTCCGGATAAAGAAAGGTGATACACTGACGTAAAGAAATAACAACTGAGATATAGTTTTCATGAACTAACTTAAATTTTAATTTTGCTATTGCTATTGCTATTTACTATTATATATCTCTAGTTATTATTCTTAGTAATTTCTCACCTAAGCTTTTAACGTTACATACATGATGAGGTAGGTTTCCCATAAAAATGTACATTTGGTATAAAACACCAATTAAAATCAATTTGCATATGATCCGATTATGATTTATCACTTGCAGTAAAACTTATTTTCTGTAGTTAACACATAGTCAAATAAAGCGGGTTCCTGTGCTAGAAATTCAGAAAACATTTCTACAAACCTCCTTTTTGAATAATCTACCATTGACAATTGTGTAATCTGAATGTTGACAAAATTTCAAGAGCTCAACATCATACGTATAAATACTAACGTCCATAGTCTCTACGAATATTTTCATATTTTCAATGTCTCATTATCACTCGTCGATTTAAATCACCGATAATTATTGTTTCATATCATAGGACATAGCATGGTGAAGATCAACGTTAATATCCGCAAAACGTGAGCTAACTGGGGGCATATAAATACTAGCAGGGAATAATATTATTTTCCTGTACAAAAAAACAAAACAAGGACCATACAATAAACGATTGCACAGACACATGCTTCATTTCAAAGGTACACTTATTATTTAGGAGACGGGAAGAGGGGAGAGAAGAGCAGAGAAGAGAGGAGAGAATGTGAGATGAGGAAGGAGGAGGTGAAGGTTCAGTATATATGTATCTGTGTCGTTTATCGGAATATTGTTGATAGAGACAGGCACATCCTAACTCTCAGCGGGAGATAAGGTCTGAGGTTCAAAGTTCGAGCACCTGCATACATATTGTACAATCACCAATCGTGGCACGTGAGACCCATTTCCCGTTGCCTCAGTGATGTCGCACAGTTATAAATAAATTTAAATAGATCGGTCTTTGTATCCGTTCGCAAGACTGGTCATCAGACGCCAATCCTCATCAAATGTGTGAACGAGACGACTATTATAAATAATATAAATTCTACGTGCAAAAATAATATTCATTGGCGCGCTGCGTCGTCTTTGAGCGAAATTAGCTACACAATAAAAATGTTATTGCCGACTTAAGAAGTAAACAAAATAATCCAAAATATAGATATTGATAGGAAACAATGACAATCAAAACAATTTGAGTTATGGAGTATTATCCGAAATATGTAATTTTATAAATATAATACATCGGCATTGAACAAGCATTATGTGAGACCGCATTACATGTTGAAATAACGATGACGTTATCACTGAAAAATGTTCAGTAAAAAAATCACGATAAAGTTCATCGATCAAAATGCAACATCTCCATTGTACCACACTGTACACCGTTATCGCATTGTATAAATAAAGTTCGCTCATATCATATTGTCCTTGTTTCCAATAGTTACATGATGTTGGTTTTGGCTGCGTATTGGGTCCGGTACGTATCTGATACTGATATTGCAATAATAACTGCCAGCATTTAGAACATTAAATTGTGGTATGAATACAAACAATGAGAATGTTAAAATTAAAATTTTATTTAAGTAGTAAAATCAAGCGTGCATGACATCGACAATATGTTTAACACAATCATTGTTTGATTTCAGACGCAAAAGCCATATCATCCTCCACAATTTGAGAAGGGCTGTGAATACCATGTTAAAATAAACCAATCAGAGATATGTTTACAACATCAATCTGGCTTATTGTTTTCAAAGAAGGAATTATATTTTTCAGTCGTGTATAGAAAGGCTAGTTCGAGGACGTGTTTATAAATGTCATTCACGACTACCAGTTAATAAATAATAATGTGCAATAGAAAAATAATTAATGCTAATAATAAATAATACATATGTTTTAAATGATAAAATAAAACAAGCTAAAACTTACTTCAATCACACTAGTTGTGGGTGAGCAGGGTTACAAAATATATATGTTTAAATTCACTAGTAACTTGGTGTAACCTATAACTAGTATCAGCCAAGTTTGTGTTTTAAAGTTCGCACACGCTATTATCATCGATTGTGTACGCGTGAGATGGGGCGCGTGACCCTCGTAGATTACAGAATCTTTGGGTTATTTTTAGACAGACCATCTAATCGCGATATTTAAAGGTCATTCTAGAGCATGTGTCCTGTCACCACTAGGTACATTGCACACAACTTAGCAACATCTTCTGCGAGTTGAAAAGTAAGAAAACTATTTTCAGATCTATTTTAAAAGAACAAATCCATATTAACAATACTTAAATCTCCGAAAAAGCTTCTTGGCGCTTGAAAACAGGATAAAGTTAAGTTGCGATCCCCCCCCCCCCGTTATTGCCCTGTCGTGCATACTAGCGACGGAATTATCTCATACGACGTGTTGAACGCATGTAAAATATATTTTTACTGTTTCTTCTTGCGTTTCTTTTGTTGAATGGAGAGGTGTGAATTTTAGGCTGCATAACATGCCCCCCAATGGAAATCAAAGTGGACATATGGTTATTAAGCTATGTACTGTGTAAACATATATGCTAATGATAATCCTTACAAAATAAACTACAAGTCCAATATTAAAAAAACACACAATATACAAGATCAACAAGTGTTCTACACTTTGGCTGGAAACCGTATTTTATCGTACATTTATTGGATAAGCTATGATCCCAGCCAACTAAAACTATTTTAGTTGTATTTTTATGTTGCGTAGTCTCGCCATAAATGTGAGCCAATCACTGTTTAGAGTATATCAGCCAATCACCAAATTGCATTTGCGCCACCCGTCATCATGTTCAACATCGTATAAGTCTGTGTGGTCATTGATAAGAGCGTGTGTCTAGGTTTCTGTTGCTAAAACTCTTATACAACCAGCTACAAACAGTGCGAATCAAAATGATGACTTCATTGCCAAAGAAACTAGAGGGGAAAGTTGCCATCGTGACTGCATCCACGGAAGGGTAAGATATATAATACATTGTGATTGACTTATGACCTACATATTATAATGAATTCATCTTATTGAACAAATTTATGTATTTATGTAAGAATGCTCGGTGAATTTTACAGTTTATGTTCCTACGTGTAGAAGATAGTGTATAGTTCCGAAGGGGGGGGGGGGTAAATTGATTGGTCAAGAATTACGCAATGGGCGATCAGAATTTCACAATTCCGCGCTGTCGCCTGTGACTGCAACAATCACACTTAATACACATGGACGACCGGTATACACGGATACTGTGAATCTGTCTGGAAATGTACATAAATCATGTTTAATAGCACCAGTCGGCTACCTGACCGTGTCACAATATTTTGTTAGACAACTGGGTTTAAAATAACGTAGACAGTGATATATAGATAACGATCTGCCTGATATAGAAATGTATTGTGATACCGGACAGTAAAGTTCATGCAACACAGGTGTATACGCTCCGTTCCGGTTTTATCCATTATAATATCTAGGGTAAATTTGAAAATAACCCCCCCCCCCACCACCACCACCACCACCACCACCAGAATAAGTGATCGAAATAAAACCTAATAAACCACTGCAGATAATAAGCATGGTCAAATATGTATTGTTATGCGTATACGTAGTTCATTTACAGAATCGGGACAACTTAACCTTGGTCGGGCCTTGACTTGTCTAGACAACGATTGGAATATATATGTCATGAGAACAAAAGTCACGGACTTATGGCAATATTGCGCCAAATCAACAATCATTGCAGTACAGTCCGCTCACATGGTATCGGAAACCAATTGTAACATTTATTCACCTTGAAATGTACCATCGTCGCCACTCTTTGTAGAGAGTAGCATCGTTGACGCATTTTTGCTTATATTTTGTGCGCGTGCACAATGACTGACTGCCAAAAATCGTTGTTCGACTACATTGACTACATTCGCTGCTGCTGTGTCATGGTTAGTAAAATAACGTAAAAGTATTAACAGATCGAGAGATGATCCATGCACGACATTTGCCATTCAAAGACGTGTCTGTTAGTTAGCTGAAATGATGACGTCATAGTGACTATGTTATTAAATGTGATCAGCACTGCCTATATAGAGAGATAGAAATCGGCAGGATATTATTACAATAGATACAAGAGATTAAAATACCAATTAAATAACAAAAGTTGCCACAATCAGCGCCACAAAGACATTTTCTTCATTTGCATATTTTTTTTATAAATTTCAATAGCAGTTAAATCTAACCAACCATTAATAGTTTTCACAGTTTTACAGGATGTCTAGATCACAGATTAATTTTTTAACTTGTTTTTTGAGCATGACGCAATTGAGGCGACGACCCCTCCCGCTTTAATAATTAGTGAATATTAAGCTACTAAGCAACTATTCTATACATTTATTTTAAATAAATGTATAATATTACCTAATTAGCATAATGATTAGCGAATTTTTAGCTATTTCACAGATATCTCAAGTAAATGAAACTTTTATTCACTAAAGGAAATTGCTTTTAACTTTTAAGTATTTTCGTTATTGAATGCTTACAATTTATTCCAATCAATGATTGAAATTGGTCAAAATATTACTTGACAACGTTTGTGATGCAAATTCAAAATTCATATTTGGGTATTCCTCAACTGCACTATAAATTTAGTGAGAGCTTGTTATAACTATAAAAATATTCTGTTTCAATTTTTTCCAGAATTGGTTACGCTGTTGCAAAACGACTCGCGGAAGATGGCGCCAGTGTTATGATAAGTAGTCGTAGGCAGAAAAAAGTTGACGAAGCTGTGGCTAAGTTGAAATCTGAAAATCTGACAAACGTAAAAGGAGTTGTTTGTCATGCTGGTAAAGAAGATCACAGGAATTACTTGATCGAGGAAGTAGGTTGCATAAATAGTACAGTAGTTTGTAAAAAAAAAAAAACTATTATTATTACTTATCCATGTCAACAATATTATATGCTATTTTCCATTTTATTCTATGATATGAATTTTATAGACGCTGCGAAGTTTTGGAGGAATTGATATGCTAGTGTGCAATGCAGCAAGCAATCCATCCCCTGGACCGTTTTTTGATGTGAGTACTTATTTCTGCTATTATTTCTTTATATACTAAGATATTATTAAGCATTAAGCCATCGCCTGACATGGTAAATAATACGAGATTTGCGCACAAAACGAAACCAATGGTAGGTGTACTCGTGCAAAATTCAATTGTGTCACTGTCAGGGCGATTGCTATCATAATATGGATATTATTTTTGTGTATTATTAATTTGGAGAAACAAACTCAATAAGCAAACATTCTGAACTTATCCATAGTCTAATGAAAATGTGCGGCCCTGGAACTAGCATTCCACCTGCATAGACACACATTTACTGAAACAATTGTATTAACGTGACATATTTTAAATTTAATTTAAACATTTTTTTTATTACAGACGACTGAAGAAGCCTGGGATAAGGTAATATTACGCGATAATGTCATGCACCTATTGTCACGTTACTACAGACAGTCCAGAGGGGGAGTTGTATGACACGACTGGTTGAAATAATCGTCCAATTTGCGTAAATTAATATTCACGAGCAATGAAAAACTTCTCTTTTCAGTAAAATTGTACCAAAATGCTTTCCGACAGCATACATGGTAGTTCTAAATTGACCGATTTACCATTCCTATGTAGTGTTTCTGAGTTACGTTGAGAGTTATCTTGTACAGAAATCACTGAAATGATTAAATCTCTTCAACGGTGGCCTACGGACGACTGACTTCGAAACGTTCCATCCAGCTCGGACGGCGCCCCCTCGTGCCGATCCCTCCTGCTACAGCCTATGATATTGCAATATCACCACAGACATTGCAATACCAATGAAAATGTTATTATCAATGAAACCATTTTTTTTTTTTGCAAAATCACCACATAAAATAAGATTGCAATCAACTGCCATATTCCATATCCATTTGTGAGATTTGAAAATTGTACCTAATTGGGTTTAGACGTATATTATTTCAGTAGAAATACAATAAAAAACACTGGCTTAGGGACTACACTATATGGCCGTGTAACCGCGTTGTTATTTTTATCACCAACAGGTATTTCATGTTAATTTAAAATCGGCATTTTTGCTGATCAAAGCCGTCATTCCATACATGGAGAAACGTGGGTAAGTCGTTTACATGTATAATTCAACTGTACTAGCACTGCCTTTCTGGAAATGTCATCAGTGGCTAATAAGGCATTATCAGTGGGTAATAAGGCATTACCAGTGGCTAATAAGGCATTATCAGTGGGTAATAAGGCATTATCAGTGACTAATAAGCCATTATCAGTGGGTAATAAGGAATTATCAGTGGCTAATAAGGCATTATCTGTGACTAATAAGCCATTATCAGTGGGTAATAAGCCATTATCAGTGGGTAATAAGGCATTATCAGTGGGTAATAAGGCATTATCAGTGAGTGGCTAACAAGGCACAATCAGTGGGTAATAAGGCATAATCAGTGGCTAATAGGCCATTATCAGTGGCTAATAGGCCATTATCAGTGGCTAATAAGGCATTATCAGTGGCTAATAAGCCATTATATGTGGCTGATAAGCCATTATCAGTGGCTAATAAGGCATTATCTGTGGCTAATAGGCCATTATAGTCGTTAAGCATGCTACTACAGTTTTCGGCCTTTGTTTTCACCATGATGGTTGCCAGGTGGTGAAAATGCCCGGATGTCCGCCCAGAGAATATCAAATGCCACTTCTGGTTTCATACTACATTTTCCAGGCGAATTTCATTTTTATATTTCAAACTTTATCCCTGTTTTATATTAAACATTTTCAGGCATAAATTTTAACATTTTCTTTTTTTAATTTTGGACCATTTTTAATTGTTTACTGCCTAGCTACTTAGTCAAATTTGTTGAAATATGAAAAGGGGGCATTCGGGTTTATTTCTGAGCAGGGTTTTAGTTAAAAATCAATCACTTATGAAATGATACTCAGTTTGATACGTACAGTACATGGCATAATTGGGCATGTTGTTCTGAGTGTAGTTGAATCGGCTTCATGTTCATCATTTTAGCAATCGGGTTTGCCAATTCATTTTAAAACATGTCAGAAACCATTGTTTAGTATGATACAGTGAATATAGAGATTTAACATGGTTGTCACCGACGTTTACTAGTAGTCTTAGACCTGTAATGTGTAATTACTTGTGTCTAACATAGCATATTCGTATAGAGCTAAGACTATATATATATATTTACCATTATTTCCTTTTTTTAGGGGTGGTAGTATTGTAACGGTATCGTCTGTAGTTGCCCACAGAACAGATGCAGTAAGAATTTATTTCTATATCTCGTATATATAAGCACATGAAAAGATTGCTACAACAGTGACAATTACATTTGTCAATTTGCCCCAGAATTTTCGCCTGAATCCTGTTATCATACTCTCACACGTTTGTAAATCTTTCTGTAAATAGTACGTGATTGTTGCGACAACACCATTCCTTTAGGTTGCGCCCTCAGCGATGAAGCCCTTCTGTGACGTAATTACATCATTTACGGCGTTGATTATTTAGGTGACAATGACAAATGTTTATTGCAGATTTGCTGTAATATAAACAGCGAATAGCTAAACGTCACGCCAGTTCTCATCTGGGCTGTCTGGCGCTTGAGGCGAAACAAAGAATTTCCATCTGACTCTGTCAGCTGCTATCTTAGTGGCAGTCACAATGGGACAGTCTCTTACTCTGAGTTCTTTTTCTATTGTTGTTCTCCAGGTTTCTCTTGGCCGACCTCGGTTTCTCCTCTCTTGAGGCGTTCAATATAATGATCTTCTTTGGAGAGAAGATTTTTTTTAAAAATGTTTTTGTGCCAGGCGACAGTTCTGGACATTGAATGTCACTGTTGTCACTCCTGACTTTTTTTTGTAAGTGCAAATTGCAAGTGCTAGTGCTGACACATAGTGCATTTTGCCACAGAAGTCATATTCATGTTTGGGACTACATGACAGGGCTGTTTGGCCATCTCCCTATCAAATGGCAATTTTAATGCACTATCCTGGCGTCAACCAGGCTCGGTTGAACACAAGCACCTGCGAACCTTAACCAAGGTTCCCCCAAAGTCGCATTCGTTAGTGAATGAATCTCGGCAAGTGGAATTGGCCTTCCCATTGAGTCTGTGGCACACTCACCCAGGGTAGGGGTCGACCCTTTTGATGTTCAGCCTCAGGTAGGATTTGAACTTGGGTCTACCGATGCGACAACCACTATGCTACCAGTGACCGGTTTGGAGAGAAGATGATGGCATGCGGCACACATGTCCCAGCCATCTCCATCGTCGGATTCGGATATTCTCTTTAATTGATGTTGTTGATGTTTTTTCCCGGAGGTTTTCATTTGAGATGGCGTTTGGCCAGAATATCCTACGTAGGCACTTATTTTGGAACACTTCTAATTTTCTTTCAATGGAGGAAGTGGTTTTCCAACACTCCGAGCCATATAGAAGGACGCTCAGGACATTGCTATTGAAAATCGTGATCTTTGTGTGGATGCTAAGTTCAGTGGACCTCCAGATAGATTTGAGCATAGCAAAGGTTTGGTTTGTTTGCTGGTTCTTGTATTAACCTCAACATCACAGTCACCATTTGCTGTCATCTTGCTGCCCAGATAGACAAAGTCCTGTACGTCCTCTATTGGGTTTCTATTCGCAGTGATTGGGTTAGTTGTTGCAGTGTTGTTCCTCAGGACCTTCGTCTTCTTTTTGTTGACTGTTAGGCCGACAGTACTGGCTGTCTGGCTGAGGCTGTCATTCTTTTGCTGTGCATCTTGGCACCGGTATGAAAGTAATGCTATATCACCCGCATAATCCAAGTCTTCCAAGACTGAGGTGAGGGTCCATTGGATTTATCTGCGCTTTCCTTTAGTGCTACATTGCATCACCCAGTCAATTGCCAGGGAGAACAGTAGAGGCGATAGACTGCATCCTTGTTTAACTCCGGTTTCTACCCTGAAAGGTTTGGTCAGCTCATTGTTGTGGATGACACAGCATTCAAAGTTCTTGTAAAGAGACTGGATCATGTTGACCAGCTTCTTTGGAATACCGCAGTGTCTCAGGATCATCCAGAGTGAGTTGCGATGAAGTCTGTCAAACGCCTGCTTGAAATCTATAAATGTAATGTAGAGTGAGCTGTTCCATTCACTTGATTGCTCCAGTATTTGGCGCAGAACAAAGATGTGATCTATGAAGGACCTTCCTTTCCTGAAACCTGCTTGCTCTTCTCGTAGTATGCCGTCTACTGCTGCTTTAATACATTGGAGAATGACGTGGCAGAAATTTTTGCTTGTGAGCGAGAGTAGGGTGATGCCTCTTCCTTTCTTGGGTAGTTTGATGATGATACCCTTTTTTCAGTCATCTGGTGCTGTCTCACTGTTCCATATGTCCTGAAGGATTAACGTAGAATGTAAGGTATATTTTTATCTTTCACCTTCAGCTAAACACCATTAGTATATTTGAACCGCATTTCTCTCACCCATGTACGTCATTTTAACGTCACAAGAGCTTGTTGTCGCTAGAGGGCGGCGTACAGGAATTACCTATACATGTTAACTAGTGTATTTGATCATCGAATACGAATCTAATTTTACATTTCGAATACCTGATGTTCATAAAAAATGTTATAACGTCTTAATGAAAAGCATCCCCAATGGTATTATATAATATTAATGTATGTCAATTTCAGGTACCGGGAGTACACGCATCGGCATACGGGATCAGTAAAATATCCTTGATAGGGCTAACTAAAGCACTTGTACCAGAATGTGCTGCGAAAAACATCAGGATCAATTGCATGTCACCAGGGGTTATAGAGACTCGTTTCAGTGAAGTGGTAAGTACTTCCAAGTTCAAAGATGTGTTTATGTTTGTGATTTATGTTCCAGTTCATTTTTTAGATGTTCAATGCTCATCCACAGTCATTGCACTAGTAACCATTTTTCCAATAATCAATACATTCAGTCATTTTATCGACCGACATTGCGTATTTTTCATAATTTTTTTTTTTTTGCTTTTTAGTATCCAAACAGTCTTGGCTATAGACTGTTAAAATTTTGTAGAATTGTGAATAGTGGAACATACTCAAAAAACGATTTTAAAATATAGATAACAGGTGCAAACATTCTCTCTTTTGAATGCTTAGCAAGATTTAGCAAGGCTGTGCATAAATAATAAAAAAGAAAACTAGTGAAAAAAGAAATGACGGGATCTCTATATTATGCACTATATTTAACTTTTTACAAAACGATAATACATTTAAATTTGGAACTGTTACAGCCATTTTAATTATGAGTATTAGCAAACTTCTTACTGCGTGAATTATTATGCAAATTAGTAATTATCTCAGCTTCTTTTTAGTGCACATCCCAAAACTTTAAAAAAAATAGCTCTAGACGCTTTGACATTTTGTTTTGAAATTTTCACAAATGATTGACAATGTGTTTATCTTCAAAACGCCGTCGGGGTATTGTTTTTGGTTGAACAGTGTTACAACAATCGTACAGACAACTAGCATGGATGTTAATTTATGCATAAACTTGAAGTAGTGAAATTTGAGCTGCTGCCCTACAAAATTGACAACTGGTAGACAGTTTTCAAGACTGCACTTTCTTCATAATAAACAGATGTACCCATAAACCAATTTTGACAGGAAACAGAAGCATAGTTTAGAAGCTAATTTTTTTTAAATCACTTTGGACCAAAAAATCACATGTTTGTGCATATTTCAAACTACAGTGTCCATAAAAAAATACTAACCAAATTATTAAAATTCATACAAATAGCTTTCCGAAAATATATAGTTTTGTGGACAAGGGAGGTCATCTTGGATTCCTAATTAACTAATTAAAATACCTGTCAGGTAACTGCATTTCTACCTTAATGACCTGATTCATATAATAATTAGTTAATTTCCATCATTATATCAAGGGGGAAATTCTTCTCCTCAGGGTTCTCCACACTTGTCAGGGGGGAATCTCATCTCGTCTCTCTATCGCGTCCCCTTGAGGTACGGGTCCGGGAAAGTCACTTTAACTTTACAGTCAAATAAGGCACACACAACGAAATACGTTTCAGCTCTCGTCTTAGTCGGTCAATCGAGCACTCTATAAGACACGGTGCCCTGGGGAAAAATCCCCAAGACTATCGCAAGGCTGACCCAAGACTCTTTTAGACTGCGTCAAGGCTCGCCCCAAGTCTCTCCAGGACTGCCCTCGACTGTGTCTATCGTGGTGTACTCGTCAAGACCAACTCAAACTCTCTTTATTCATTATCAAAACTCTAACCAATTACAAAACAGTAAAAAGACTCTAGGGCGTAACCTTCAATCATAAAGCCAATCACACTAAGTACTGAATACGTCATATCTTTTGATTAATCGTTCACTACATTAATAACTACGGAATATAAACTGTCAGAATGAAGTAGTCTGAAAAGCGGCGGTTATTTGGTAATTAGTTCCAAATCACTGAGCCAAGTTCCGTCCAAAACTTCAAATAGGTCTAAACGATGACAGACATAACACAGCAATTCAGCTAATAATCAGCTAATTAAGTCAGTTAACAGATACGCAAAAACAAATTCATGACACATCCCTTCACCCAAACTGAGATTGTGCCTCCTGGCATAACACGTTCACAAATCAAAGATACCGCCAGC